AAGCTGGGCAGTCTCTCCCCCTCGCCTTACTTGTGTCATCCCGTAAATATCCACGGTACTGCCAGGTGGAGGCTTCCATGGCTGGGAGCTCTGTCACTATAATTCCTGGTTCCAAATGCTTTGGGACTGGCCAGCCAAGATTTTTCCCACCTTGGGTCTCGGCGGGCTTTCAGCACCGCCTCCTCCTCGCTCTGCTCTGGGAGACGGCGGCACTTGGAAGCGTCGGAGCCTGGGTCATGTGAACCGGCGTTCCTTGGCCTCATGGCCAGCGGAGAGGAACATCCCATTGGCACGACGGAGCCCGTGCTCTGCCACTCCTGACACCACACCCAGCACAGCTGATGCCACGCTGGTCCCTATCCAAACACATCCCACCTGGATAACTGGAAAAAGCCCCTCCAGCTGATAATTTGCTGGTCCACGGTACTTCACAGTCAGGGCTTGCTTCCCATCTGCATCCTTCTCCAGGGATTCTCCTCTTTCCCCAGCCTACTCCAGCAACAGCTCCCCACAGCCCTGTGCAGCAATCCCGGCTTGCCTCCAATTTTGCAGCTTCCAGAGGGATTTACTGCCAGGCTGTCTGGGCAGAGTCATCTCTGCCAGCTCCTTGGGGGTTCCACAGGGAAATGGAAACCTGCATCCGTGCCCCTGGCACTGTTCTCCCCTCCCGGCCCCGCGGCCGTGGGACGCGGAGCGGCTCCCCCAGGGCTCCTTCCTTGGAAGCAGCACTCAGCCTTGGGCTGCGTCCCAGAGCTTGAGAGAGAGATGCTGCCTGCACAGAGCGCGGGGCAGAACCGGAGCGGCTGGAATGAGCTGCGGGAATACGTTATGGAAAAGGGAATTGCTGTGACAGAGACCGGCTGCCCGAGATAAACACGGGAGCTGACAGCAGCCTCAGACACAGCTTTCCCTGTGGAAACTCCAAAACACAACTTATCAAAAATCCCTATTAACGCACTGGGCACTTCTCTAAACAACCCTCGGAGCAGAGTTGCTCCCTTTGGATTGCCCTCCGGATGGCGGTGGAGCCGGGGAGCTGGAGGGCTCTAATCTGTTTGTACACAGCCGGGATGCCTGGCATTGCAGGGAGCCGCAGCTCCAGCTCAGCTCCAGCCCAGCCGCTGCCCCCGTGCTTTGCCTTTTATGGTTCCCCGAGCCGGGAAGCATCCCCAGGCAGGATGCAGGAAAACACCTAGATCACCCCAAAAGAGGTGCCTGCACAGGCACCTCTGCGGTGTCAGGGCTGAGCTACCCCAGTGTCACCTGTAGAGCTGGCAAACAGGACCTGGCCCCAGCCCAAAGGCATCTCCTGATATTCCATGAGGCTGGAAAATCCCACAGGGCCTCGTCCAGAGACCTCAAGGACCCAGACAACCTCTGAGCACCACAGACACACGGCAGCTGCGTGGGTGACACCTGGACCATGGTCACAATGCCTCTACCTCATCCTGTGTCCCATGTCAGGAGTGAGTCCTGGCCACTGCTGAGGGAAATAAGTGATGAGGGTTATCCCAGCCCTTATCAGCCTGGAGCCAGCCAGGCCCTGCTGGGACTGTTCTTTATCAGTGCACGTTGCAGAGCTGCTCTGCACAGACAAAATCCCGTTTGTTTCCACTGGAAGTCTTAAATCCCCACCGAGGCTGCCCAGAGCAAACACAACCAACTCCCAGAGGGATCAGGGCTGGTGGCCGGGCTCCTGCTGCTCCTGCCAACAGCAGCAGCAGCAGAACCTGGCAGCAGCAGACCTGACAGGTAGAGAAATGCTGAGCAAGGTGTGCTGGCAGGTGCAGGAGTGAGGAATTTCACAGCCAAGTCACCTCTCCCATGTCATGAACTCACTCAACATTTGCACTGTGACCCCATCAATAATTTCAGGTGTTTCTCTCAAGCCCTTGTGACAAAACCAAATTCCTTCTATGCTTCTCACAAACCCTCACAATTTGGGTGATTTTGGGCTTGTCCTGTGTGGGGACTGCAGAGCCCAGGGTTGGTTTTTGGGGATATTGTGGTGGTTTGGGCTTGTCCTGTGTGGGGACTGCAGAGCCCAGGGTTGGTGTGGAAGGGGCACAACCGTGTCCTGGGACCTGCCCTGGGCATTGTGTCCCATGTTCCAGGGAGCTGCTCGGAGCTCTGACACGGCACCAGCGTGGTTCTGCTCCTGAACCCTCTGCATAAAAGGAAATGGCAGCTGCTGCAGCATTGCTGCTGTCCCGTCCTTCAAACAGAGGGAGGAAGAGACTTTTAGGGAATACACACCGAGGCGGGAGCAAACCTGACTGGCAGCACAGCTCGGCCTGTGCCCGCTGCAGGAACCGGCTCCTCTGGCCTTGGCAGCACCAGCTCACAGCTTCTGCTTGGAAAAATATTTACATTTCCACCTTTGCAGGGGCCAGAGCAATGTTCAGCCAGGGCCCAGCAGGAACGGATGCAGAGGCATCATCCTGGGGCTGCAGGCAGCTGGAGAACCACTGCCAGAGAGCAGCTTCTTCTCTGCCAGTGTGGAAATGCAGCCACAGCCCCCAGAGTCCTTCCTGCAGCTTCTCTGTGTGCTGCCATCAGCCTCACCCTCCTGCCAATCCTCATCTTTCACCCAAAACCACCACTAGAGTACCTGCTCACCACCCCAACTCCACATGGAACTGGGAAATGTTGCCAGGGAACCATCCTCCCATCAGAGGGTCCTTGAGGAGATCAGCTTTGGAGCACCTGCAGCTCCTCCATGGGGGGGAGACGAGGGGCACAGCCGGACCCTGCACCTCCCCACCACCCCAGGAGGGCACCCAGTGCCAGGCTGGCCCTGCCCACGGCAGCTCCAGGCTCAGGCACCTCCTCTGGTCAGCGAGGCTATAAATAAACCCTCCCTGGTCGCCGGAGAGAATTTGTGTTGCTCCAGATGTTGCCTGGTTGTGCCATGGCAACATCACAACAGGATGTAACATTCGGCCGTGAGGAGCCGCTCTGAAAAGGACCAATTTCCAATCCTAACAAGAACAAAAAAACAGCCGGGCACTCACCGGCAGCCTGGGCATGCTCCAGCCATTCCACAGGCCCATCTTGTGGTTCCCCATATCCAGCTCACACCCACCTCTGGAGCTGGGAATGGCTCCGTGGGGAGGCTCCATCTTTGGGAAGCTGGGCAAGGAGAGAGGTCTCTGTGGACCCAGCCAAGGGATGTGTGAGTTAATGAGCCAACAGCAAACAGTGCCCCCAGAACGGTGCTGGCTGAGGGGCAGGCTGTGCTCCAGGAGCTCAAACAACAGCGGGAAGCTGCTCTTCACCTGGAGACCCATCCCTCCCTGGGGATCCCCTCAGGTGAAGCAGACACAAACCCTCCAGACCCACCCCCAGGGCAGTGCCCTCCATGGTTTGCAGATTTCCCCAGCCAGGGAGCTGCTGTCCATGCAGGTCCCTGTGGGGGCTCCTGGGCTTCCAGGAGCCTGGCATGTGGCTCTGCTGGGGAGAGCAGCACAGGCCTGTGCAATCCCACAGCCCAATTGCTGTGGCAGCATCAAGGTCCTCTCTCAGGTGGGATTTTCCAGGCTCAGCAAGGTGCAGGTGTCACTTTTCCATGTGCCACTGCTGACATCCTTTCTGGAAGGTGAGAGGCTTCTCCTGAAACCAGGCTGGGGTCTCTGAAGAAACCAGGTGGAGAATGCCTGATCTCCATCCTGCTCCTCTGGATCCAGCCTTCAGGAGCATCAGAAAACAGCCAGGACCCAAAAATGGGGGAAACAGAGCCAGGATAGATGGGCAATGATGACATAGAGCAGGCAGTGGCCCTGGGATATATCCCATCCCCTCCTTTCCTTTCCACCCCTTCAGCATCTGTTCCTTCCCCACCTCCAAACAAAGCTACAAAAGTAATTTGTAAAAGGAAAAAAAAAAAAAGTTTATTTGTTTTTCCTCACAAGATAAACATAAAATATCCAGGACATTTTTACAAACAAAAGTAAAAAAAAAAAAAAAGTGCATGATGCATCCCTCCCGCGGGCATACAGTACAAAAATCCTGCAGATTTCCATATAAAATTGGGATAAGAAATACCACGGAATAAAGGAACGTTGTTATGGAGCACAGCAATGCACAGAACAGCTACAGGTCACTCAGCCCCTCCTCAGGGACTGACCGGGGCTGTCCCCACCGCCCCGGCCGGGAGGCGGTGACACGGCCGGGACAAACCCCGGCACGGGAAGGGCCCCGGGAGGGACACGGAGCGACACCGCCAGGACCGGGAATAAGGCGCCGGCTTGTGCATTTCAGGAATTCTGGCAGGACGGGACAGGGTCTGGGGCTGCCGAGCAAAGCGTGGTCGGTGATGGGATGTGTCCCTGCACGCATAGATAAATGGATAAATGGATAAATAGGATACATGGGGACACCGGGCACGGAGCCCTCTGGTTCTGCCATGCCCAGAGCAGAGGGAAGCGGCAGCAGGTGAGCAGTGCCCAGCTCGGCGGGGACAGGAGGGCAGGACAGGAGGAGGGATGGCCTCACTGCCACCGGAAACACCAAAAGCACCAAAAACTCCCTAGAGAACAGCAAACAGCAGAGTCCAACAGCTCAGCAGATACACAGTGTTTGTAAACCATGAGTAAGGCACTCCATCGTAAGGACACGTACGACACGTGGGGAGGACAAGCACATCAACCTTGTCATGCAACAAACCCGACGGGACGGGGGGGTTTGGCTGCGACCCCCCGGCAATGGCACAGCGGGGCTCCCGCCGAGCCGCGTCTGTGCCCCGGGCACGGAGGGAGCCCCGAGCCCGGAGCGAAGCCCGGGGCTGCTCCAGGCAGGAGCAGCGGCAGGGGAAGGCCGAGGGTGCCGAGCTGAGCCCGGAGCGCGGCGGGTTGGGCGCGGCAGAGCTCGGCAGGCACTCGAGAGACACGAAGGAAATCAGATGTTCGCTCGGATCAGTTCACGGAGTTCTCCAAACTCATTCAAAACCGTTCCCGGCACCTCTTCCCTCAGCCAGGAGTGATGGGAAGGGTCGGCAGCACACAGAGAATAACCTGGGTTACAACAATAACCGAGGGTGATGGAATTGTCCCGGGCAGGGGACACGGAGCTTTCCCAGGTGCTGCTCCGACCCTGCGGCACCCAACAGCCCCGGGGCCTCCCGTCTGCCCCTTCCTAATCTGAGTCTGGCTGCAAAGGGGGATAAAGGCGATCCAAACACAGGGAATGGATCCGGCCCTGGCTTGTGGGGTTTCATCCTGCCCTGAGCTCGACCCAGCGCTGCCTCAGCCCAAACAAGCAAAGGCTCCTGCAAAACTTCCCTCCCGGAGCAGCTTTTGCTCCACACCAGCTCTCCTGGGTGGAACAAGTGCAAATCAAATTCAGACTCTTTCAGGAGGGACAATTATTCACTGATTGCCTGTCCCTACAATTCCTCACACAAATGAAACATGCAGGATCTTATGCTAAAGGGGAAAAAGGGAACTCCAGGCATTTAGGGCAGGAAAATGCACAGCTCCCTTCCTCAAGACACTGGATTTTCAATCAATACAGTTCAGAGCAGCTGCTGCAGCCTGGCTCTGCCCCACCTCAGAGGGGAGCTGCAAGAAAGCCTTTCCATGGAGATTTTAAAATGTGGGAATACTCCCACTCACAGCCAGGGTGAGCAAATCCACCTCTTTGAGCCCCCAAATCTACTTCAAAACACCACCCAAAGGCACAAGCCTCAGATGGGATCGGGGGCACTGAGGTTTGGAGCACATCCCCTGCTCGCTTCCCAAGCTCTTCCCTCTGGACTCAGCCAGGGCTCACATGGAGCAGCTCTCAAACAGGCTGGCTGCCAAAAATATTCACAGAAAATGCGCATTCCCTATGGAATCCAAGCAGCAGCCCTGGCAGGAGGGGGAAACACAGGACTGAGAGCACAGACAGCCCCTGGCTGCCCACCCTTCCTCCAACATCCTCCTCTCAGAGCGTGTCCATGTGTCTGTCCAGCTCCCCCCAGCAGGGTTCAGTGGCTGTCACACACAGCCCTGGGACAAGCCCAGCCTGCCTGTGGCACCCAAACCCCTGATGCCCACCATAAACAGCACCCAGGACTCCTCCAGCAGCTCCCCGGGCACAGGGACCACCCCACAAAACCAACAGCACAACCACAAAGGACACTCTGTCACCTGCCAGGGTCCAGGAGAGCCACCCCTCCTCGGCCACCTCACGTCACCCACAGCTCAGTGACAGAGGGTCCCCAGAGCACCCACGACACCGACACAGCTTCACATCACGAGGGTCCACAGGCAACCACTGGCCAGGCTCTGTCAGCACTGGGACAACACCGACCACAACGACAGCAAAACACCCCAAGAACACAACACCTGTGACAGCAACAGCCAGGGTGACATCGGGTCACAGCGTCCCCACGGACACAGCTCAGCACTTTGTCACCTCCCAGCCACGGCCTGGGGAAGCCTCAGTGTCCACACTCCCTCCAGGCCTTTACAGCTAAGGGAATTCCTTCAAACAACAGCAAGAATTCTGGAAAAAGCCTTTTGGATAAAAGCTCCAAACAATAAACCAGGACAAAAAGCCAGCAAGAACAGAGGTAGTGTGCGTGTCACCATTTTAAGGATTTTCCACAAGTGCCCTGTTTAAATAGAGACTTGTGTTTGTTCTGTAAAAAAAAGTCATGAATAATTATTTTCAGTCTTCGAAACAGAATATTTCAGCATTTTAGATATAGATAGAGATACAAATATCTATCCATAACAACACACACATCCACATTATTACACTTGGCAAACAGTACTAGGAAGAGTATCCTGCAGGACAACAGGCAAGTCACACACCAAGTCCTCCTCTAAGCCATGCAACACGATTTATTTCCCTTGTGCCCTTCATTGTGACCCACTGTGGTTCTTTCCTCCTCTCTTGGAGCACAAAGAGGGGACGAGGAGGTGGCACCAGATGAGCTGCTGAAGTCAGATGATAAAACAGCACTGGTGCAATGAATAAATGCTGCAAACCCCCAAAATGCTCCAGCCCCCTCCTCGCCCTGCAAGGCATCAACTTTTGCCCATCCAAAGCGTGTTCTTCAAGTTCCCAGCCAGAGGCTTCGCCCCTGCTTTGGAGGCGCCGTCCGCGCCCCTCAGCGGCGGCTCACAGAGCACGGAGCCCTCGCTGGACACGGCCTCCCTGGAGTCCGTGATGGTGGCCACGTCCACGTCACTCGACAGGTCCTCGGAGGACAGGTTAAGACATCCCAGCTTGGCGAGGGAATTGGATCTTTTCAGGGGCGAGGACACGGTGAGGCCGGCCAGGCGCAGCCTGGTCTCGATCTCCTGCGTGCGCTGCTTCACCAGCCCGGGCTTGCCCCGCACGCTGTGGATGCTGTCGCTGCTGGAGCTCCGCGTCAGGTTGGAGCTGCGGGAGGAGGAGGGGGTGTAGCAGATGGTCTTCAGGAAGTCCTTGGTGAAGCTGCTCGTGTGCTCCAGGCGGCACCCGGCCGGCGTGGAGGTTTTCTGGGAGATCCCCTCCAGGACACGCTTCACCCCCAGCTTCTCCACGTCGTTCTCGGCGTCTCCGGGCACCAGTGGGGCCGGTGCCAGGAGAGGCACAAGGCTGGGATGGGACATCAAGTCCTCGCTTTCCTCCACGATGCTGGAGTCAACCCTGCCCAGGGGGCTGTCCCGGAGCAGCACCGAGGCATCCGAGGGCAGGCTCTTGAGGCGCTCCAGCTCTTTGGTGTGCTTCCTGACCAACCCTGCTTTCTGCAGCTGGAGCAGCGACTCCTGGTGCTGCATCAAGTAACTGCTGGCGCTCGGCTTTTCCAAGTCCTTGCTGAACAACAGGTACTTCAGGTCCTTGGTAGGTCTGGGGTCCTTTCTGGCCAGAGACTCTTCCCTCACCATCTCTGCGTGAAGGAGGCTCCTGTCACAGTGGGAGTTTCTCCTGGGCAGCAGAGTTTTTTCGGGGGTTTTTGGCGCATCTTTCCCTCTCTCCAGAAGGCCGCAGTGCTGATCCAGTGACCTGCACGTGCCAACCTCCACAGCCCCGGCTCCTGGTGCCAGGGGGAGCGGAGCCTCGTTATGTTTAGTTCTGCCTGGCTCCTCGGGGGGTGCCCTGCTGGGCAGGTGCTCCATCAGGTGGGAGTGCAGGTGGGACAGGAGGGGGGGCTGGGTGCAGATGGTGCTGCTGCGCCGCGCGGCGCTGGCGCCGAGCCTCTCGCACTGCTCCCCGAAGGAGTCAGGGGACAGCCCCGCTGAGGAATACATGCACTCAGTGCAGGACTGGTAGGAAGGCTTCACCTTGCTGAGGATCCCAAACACGGCATCGTGCTGCAGGAGAGAAAACAGGGACAGATCAACGAGCAGGGAACAGACACCGGCACAGCCCACAGGGTGTGGGACGGCCAAAGAGATCTGGAACAAAGCCCATTTCCACCTCAGCCCTTGCAGCAGGAACTAAAGCCACGTGCTTTCCCAGCAGACAGTGTCTCTAAGGAATACCTACCGTGCCAAGCGAGGGTCATGCAAGCGAGCTGCCCACAGCACTTTACTGGGCACTCACTGGGCACTCTCTGGCATCTACATCCACAGCTCGGGCAAGCAAAGCCCTGGTGAGAAGCGCCTCGAAAGGGGAGAAGCTCATCATGGAATGAAAGGCTTTATCCAAGTCAAATGAAACTGGGCTATGAGGATGAGAAGAGCAGTTTCACTTGCAGCAGAGTCAGCCATGCCAATCACCTCCACCTCACCTCCATACGCACCTCAAAATCCTCTGGGCAACTCCTTTTGCTGTTGTTGTTATTCAAGTTCTCCCTATTGAGCCTGCTCTCCTCCTTGTGCATGGACAAACGCCGCTTCCACTTTTCCATGGGATTTTCCTCCCTGACACCATCCTCCCCTGGCTCCCCAAGGACCATCCTTCCCTTCCTCGGGCTGAAGTCCCGTTTCTTCTTTGCCTCTTTCTCACAGAAGCCGCCCAGCTCCGCCAGTGGCTCCGCTCTCTCCGGGGCCTTTTCCATCTCCAGCAGCCTCCCCTGGGGTGGTGCAGATGGAGGCTGTCCCACCAGGGCATCCCGCTCCAGCTGCTCCATGTGGAAGAAGCCCTCCCTGTCCCCAGGAATCTTGTTCTCCAGCAGCGTGTCCGACAGGCGGCGGAAGCAGTAACCGAAGCCCTCGGAGCCGGCTCGGTTGTCCAGGTAGGCAGACTGGGAAGGCATGTCCAGGTCAGCCAGGCGGTTTTCCAGGTCGATGTCCAAGCTCTCCAGTAAGAAATCTCCTGACCCCGTGGTGCCGTCGGTGCTCTGGGGCAGGTTGCTCTCTGCCTGCTGCTTCCACAGTTTATTGTGGCGCTGTTTGCTGGGGAGAGGACAAGGACACGAGTGACTGCCCTGCAGGATGCCCAGTGCCAGGAGCTTCCTTCTGTCTCCACAGCCCAGAACCCAGGGGCTGGGCCCAGATCTGAGATGCCACTTGGACAAACCACCTTCAGAACTGGGATTGTTTTCCCCCCACCTGTCCATTCCAGAGCAGTGCCCTGAGTACAGCAGTGGGATCAGACTTTGGGAGATGCCTCAGCACCCTCAGAGTACAACACCCCAACCTGACCCCTCTGCACATCCTGTGGCACAGCTCCTGCTGAACCAGGGGACAGAATTCTCTCCTCTGTCCTTAGAAGATAAATACTGCAGCCCTTGCAGTGACAGAGCCCTGGGGTTGGCACAGAACCACGAATGCTTTGCCTCCAGAATGGCCCAAGCTCAGTTCTGCCTCATAAAACAAGAACAATGCTGTGCTGGGCAGCACTGGCTGCTGAGAAATCCAAACGTACTTCCCAAGCACGGAGAAACCCTCCCTGAATTACACCAGAGCAGTTCTCCCAGCTAATTTCCATGCAGGGAGCCTGGCACAGGGAAGGTTTAGGAAAAGCATGATTGGCCCAGGATTCTGCCTGTGCCCTTCTCAAGGGACCCCTCACCCATCTGTGAGCATGACACCAACAGAGCCCCAGCAATCCTTTGTGATGCTTCCACAATCAGCTCCTTTCCTTCCCACTCATCCCGAGCCTTACCTGGCATCCAAAATGCCCTCGTACTCCAGCAGCTGCCGCATGAAGCCGGCGTTGGGCCGTGTGATGCTGCGCTTCTGCTTGACGTAGTTGTAGGCCTTCTCCAGGGACCAGCCAAACTCCTTCATGGCGTAGGCGATCACGGTGGATGCCGAGCGGCTCACGCCCATCTTGCAGTGCACCAGGCACTTGGAGTGGTTCTTCCTGCAGGGGGACAAACAGGAGAACAAAGCCCATGTCAGCGGTTGTGGATCTGCTACGGCTTCACCGGAGGAGGGGCAGCGCTCCTCGCCCTGCCCACCCTGCATCACAGATCTGGAGGGGAGAATGCTTGGGATGATGAGGGCCAGGAGAAGAATCCCTGTCCAGAAAAGCTGGGAGTTAGAGATGGGCAGCCTCATTCATCTCAGAGACCACCATGAAGCCTCCTGCCTCCATGCAGGTCTTTGGAAACTGGGATCTCTGGAAAAGGCTGAGTGTAGAGGCCTGGCAGGGTTTGACAGGGTCTGTCTGCAGAGACAGCTGGGGCAGGTCCAACACAGACACGGCTGGAGCAGCTCCAGAATGACTCCAGAAGAGGAAACATCCTCATTTCCTTTCGGAAGTAAAACAAATTAGTAACAAAAATGCTGGGCTAGAAACAGGTTAATGCCAGTCCAGGAAGGACAGGGCACGAGGGAGCTCCAGCAACACGGAACGATGATGCCAAGGCCCTGCAGCTCCTGTGGCTTTGCGAGGGCCTAGGATGAGACACAGAGAGCTGGGATGTGCCACCCCCCAGGGCCAGGTGTCCCAGCACTCACTTGGCCTTGTTGATGAAGTGATAAGCCTCGTTCCAGTGTGCCAGCAGGTCCGTGGTCTCCTCGTCGTACACGCGGATGTTGTGGTACGCGAACAGGCCTGGGAAGAAGTTGTCGATTTCCCGGGTGACGTTCAGGATGTAGTCAATGCTGTGGGACCAGGAGAGACACCCTGAGCTGCCACGGTCACCAAACAGCCCTGAGGGACACTGTGAATCCATGCACTCCAACCCAACATGAACTGTAAGGTTTTGCCTACAGCCCTAATCCTAACTCCTGGTACACAGGGGTTTTCTGCCACCTCTCACTGCCAGCACATCCCAAGTGTCCAAACACCCTGGGCACAGGAGGGAGAAATTTAATTTATCTCATTTATTGTCTCTGAGTCTGTGTAACCCAACCAGGAACTCCTCGCTGTGCCACATAGCTCTGGGGATGCAGAAAGAAGTGAATCATCTGGGAACATAGCCCAGGAGTCATCATCTCCAGCTGCAGGTTTTAGCTGCAATCCCATCCCTTCTCCTTCTTTCTGACCAAAACCATGAGAGTCACATGTTATCTCTTGATTCCTGCCAAATGTCACAGCAGGGATAACAATGTACTCCAGAATGAATGTCCAGATTGATTTATCACCTCCTATCACTGAGAAAAATCAAGGACACAGGATATTTGTCTCACAATTTGTCCAGCTTTGCCTTTGGACACTGCACATCCCAATCCAAGACATAATCATTAACACCCTGCTTGATTTCCTTGTCCCAAGATGTGCAGACATCTGCTCCCAAGGACTGCAAATGAAACATTTTCAGCTGTGCTGTAATTGTGAAGAATTTCAGTTCCTTACAGCAAGGCTGGTGCAGGCCTTGAGTGAGCAGCAAATACTTATAGGCAGAATTCTCCCTGATCCCAAAAGTGTGGCAGGGAATGGGGCCAAGCAGCACCATGGGGATGGGAGAGACACCTGGAGCTGCCTGTCCAGGCAGGTGAGGAGGAGTATGCTCATCCACAGGCAGCTCTGCTCCATCTGAATGGAGATTTTTCCTTAGTGCTGCAACCTTTGCTCCTCTGCAGCCTGCAGAAATTCACACCTGGCACAGCACTGGGAGACGGAGATCCTGATGGATCTCACCAGTGACAAGTTCTGTTATTTTTGCTCTGTGCTGATGATAAAAGTGAGGTTGGAGAGATTTCTCCACAGAGCTGCTGGAGGGGTAAAATCATCCCTAGAGCCTGCAAATGTCCTCTGCAGGGTCCTGGGGGAATTGCAGGCACACAGTGCAGGTCTGGAGCTGGGAGGAGCAGTACTCACCCCGAGCCCTGCAGCTCCTCCAGGTTGGACGCGTTCCACTCGGAGCCCTGCAACAGCCACAGACACACATTTCCAAAGGGCCCCAAAACAGCCATGTCCCTCAGCTTCTGCAATCCCCAGCCCCAGCCATCCTCCTGAGCTGACTGCAATGTTGGGAACAGCCTCTGAGACAGGAATAGGGCATTGATGTCCCATCCTGAGCAGGCAGGGACCTGCTGAAGGAGGGACCAGGACACAACTCACCCACAGAGTTGGTTCTAGGCCAGGGTGTGACTGAGCTCATCCCAAATCACTGCCCCTGGCCACTCTGGAGTTTTAAACACTGGGAGAAATAGTTCAGGAGAACAAAGTGAATGCACCTGTGATCCCAGACATGCCACACACGAGAAGTGAGGCAAATCCTGAAACTCTGGGTGTAGTTACACCTTGGATTTTCCCCCAGACATTCACAAGAGAAAGCTTTAAACTGTTAAAAAGCAGATTTTGCCCTGAAACATGAGCAATTCCTCTGACTCTACCCAGAACAACAACAAAAAGACCCAATGGGCACAAAGTGTTCATCTCTGGGCAGTCTTTGTTCCAGAGGCAGAGCCTGGTTTTGCCTGGAGTACCATCTAGTGGCAAAGCATTGGACACAGCACAGCAGAGCTCTGCTGGAGCTCCTGACACTCACCAGGTACAAATGATCAAAAATCAGGGATGGTTTGTCCATCTGGCCCAGGATCAGTAGCATTTCATTGTCTATAAATTCCTTGAATTCCTTCAAGTTGCAGTTCATGTGTTTCTCCAGCTCGTTTCGGATCTGCAGAGCAAACACAAAGGATGGCATTGGAATCTTGGTGTCCAACAGAAACATCTGAGGGCACTTCCCTGCAGAACACTTCTCACTTCTTCATTAAAAACAGCAACAGGGCCTCAGCCTTCTGGAAACCAGGAATTTCAGTATGTGGCATCTCTCCAATTATCCCAGAATGGTTTGTGTGGGAAGGGAGCTTAAAGCTCATCTCATTCCACACCTTCCACTATCCCAGGTTGCTCCAAGCCCCATCCAACCTGGCCTTGGACACTTCCAGGGGGTCCAGCTTCTCTGGGAATTCCATCCCAGCCCCTCACCAGGAAGGATCCCTTCCCAATATCCCATCTATCCTCCCCTCTGACAGTTTAAAACCACTGTCCCTTGCCCTGGCATCCTAAATCCCCAAATTAAGGAGCTGTAAATAAAGCTTCAGATAACATCTGAGGGAAAAAAGTATTTTGGGGTACCTGGTCCTTAAAAATAGTAATTTGAGAGATAAAGAACAAGAGCTTGTCTGCAGGAGGAGTGAGGAGCACGTCCACAGACAGACACGTTCTCAGCTTCCTCCTACCACTTGCATGTTAATAAACCTCCCTTAAAAACCAAAAACCCACCCCAAAAAGAACCATTCCCACTCTGATCACGTCTGCACTGTGGGTGGATGGATTACACCAGCCTGGGGGATGGATCCAAACGAACTCTAGCCTTGGTTTGTGATTTTCCATCCATAAACTCACCAGCAAAACGCTGTCTGCAATGTCCTCTGACATTTGTCCAGGGAAAAAAAGGAAATAAACCCTTAAAATCTAATTTGAAAGCCACACAGCTGTTACTGAGCTCCTGAAAGACACTTGTGATGCTGGGATTATCCTGATTTCTTAGGAGGGAGGTGCAGCAAAGCCAGAGCTGAGCCTTTACAGGATGGCTGAAATGCACATTCCAAAGCCAGGGACACGCAGGCATATGGTGCCTGCTCCCCACTCTCTAGAGAGGGAGTCTGGCAGGAAGAACAAGAGTGAGAAGTTTTTCTATTTACCTCCTTGGAAGTCACATTTTCCAGGTCCTTGCTGGTCATGATGCTCCGGAGCTTGGCTTTAATGAGCCGCTCCGTTCGCTCCCTTTCTGTGGGCCTGGGAAGGAGCAGGAGAGGAGAGGATGATTCCAGTGCACAGCACTGAGGAGTGAGGGGAAAGGCTCGTGCTAAAGGGAATTTTTATGGGAATAATAGAAAAAAAAGAAAAAAAAGCAGCTTGTTGGTGCTTATACACTATATCACAAGCTAAAGTTTTGGGTCTGATCATTTCACACAAATTCTTTTTTGTTGCTTTTGCAACCCCAGAAATGAAGCAGGTCAGGAAGAACAGGGAGAAGGGGAGATTTCCTTCACGAACCAAGCAAACTTTTCCAAACAAAATGCTGCACTGACTTGTCAACAAAGAGGGCTGGGGAGTCGGGGCGGGTGGACTCCAGGTCCTGCATGGCGTTCCACTCGTTGATGCAGCTCTGGTCTGAGCTGATGCAGCTCTCGTAGTAGGTGGCCCACACCAAGGCCACCCCTCCTGGGAAGTAGTTGTACCTCCTGGCAACTTCACAGGCTTTGTGGAGGATCTGCAGAGCAGACCTGCAGGGTGGGAGAAGAGATGTGGGGAAGCTGTGAGCAGATAAAGCAGGAGCTGAGAGAGTTTCACAGAGGAAAAGTGATTTTCAGCATCAGTTGTTGTAGTTTGCTCTTTGAAAGCAGGAAATTTATGGTGTCAGAGCTCAAAGAGGCACAAACTGCACCTTAGGGGCTTCTCACAGCAGGGCTGAGGCAGGGGCTGAAATCTTCTCCTAATTAACAGGGAAGAAGCAGGCACAAGTTGCTGTGGGATCTAATCATTAACCAACTTGTACAGCCAAAGGAAGATAAAGAACAGGGACAATTTTCCAACCACCTCCAGCAAGGAGCCTGATGCATATTTACCAGCATTCCTGGCCCCTGACAGGCTCCAGGGACAAGGCCCAGATTGGGTCATTTGTTTTTGCAAATCCTAACATTACTTTTTCCTTCTTTCCCTCCTCAATTTTTCCTTTCTTTAAGGCTCTACTCCGAAGTTCTTGGACTGAACACATCAACCACATCCAAGGCTGGCAACAGGAAGGGCCAAATTCAAAACTGCCAGGAACAGGAGTTTTGTTTCTGCACCAAACCATCCCCAGCACAACATCCTTCTCCACAGCTGTAGCTCCTCCCTAGGAGATGCTGCAGGGACTGGGATCTCTCCAGGCTCCAAGGGGAGACAGCATTGCCCAGGCAGAGGGAGATGCAGTTCCATGTGGAGCAGCCTCCTCAGGGAGGAATTTGCTGTCTCAGCCACCTCTGCTTCAGGGGTTTGGAATCCCTGCACAGGAGCTGGAAGGAGAATGGGCACCTGGGGCTGCAGGAACCCCAGGAATGGGGCAGGATACAGGGAATGCCACAGGCTGGCAATGGGCCCTGAACCTCCTCTGTCAGTCAGAGAGAGAAACATGCAGAGAGAGGAAATTCTTGGTTTGCAACTCCAGGAATTCGAGCTCATCTTTCATATTTTTCCATCTCCCTGGTGCCACTTCCCCCATGCTGAAGGACACAGAGCTGCTCTGAACTGGAGCAGCAGATCCTGGTTTGGGATCAGGATTCCCACAGCCCCTCTGCTGACACAGGGAAGCAGATCTCTGCTGCAGCTCACTGAATACCCATTGTGGAGAAGGCTAAAATGCAAAGGCTAAAATGCAGCTGATTTTTTTTTTTGGACGGAATTTACTGATAGAGAGTGTCTCCCTGAGCCCAGCCCCTCACATACCACATGGCTTGCACTGACACAGGTTTGAAGATGTGCATCCTCCCTGCAGTGCTCACGCTGAAGCCACTGATGGAGAGAGGGAAAATTGAGTCAAAAACTGCTTTTCTCTGCACCCCAACCTGCTCTCTACAAACAGCCCCTGCACTGGGGCACCCACAGGCCAAAAGAATCAGGATGAGAATTTCTCTCACTGATTTTCCAACCTCCCAAGTATGAATGGCAAGAGGCTGCCAGGAATGGGAGCTCCAGTCCTCAGTGGGGGTTCAGAGCATTCCCTGGAACCACAGGAGCAGTGTGAGGGCAGCAAGACAAGAACTCACTGTCTGAATAAGAGGACTCTGCAGCCATGAATCCAAAATGGGCACTTCATTTGCAAGGTGATGGAGAATCTCTCCTAGAGCAGCCCCCAGGTAGGGAAGGACATTCACATTTATCCTTTCAATGTGGTTTCTTACCCATCCCCATCCAGATGGATTTTAGTATCACTCCAGAGGCGAAGAACCATTCCTATAGTGCAGCTTTTACTGGAAGAGAGATGGTGAGACAGGAAGTTAAATATAGGCCACGATGTGGTCATGCCAATAGCCTAAATTATTAATACTCTTTAATTTTTAAAATCCTCAAGCCTTGCTCTAGTAATCTCTTGTAATATTTCAGGCCATCAAATAAAACTGGAAGGAGGATCTGAAGGTCTGACAAGGTGATAACTCCTGGTGATTGCTCCATGGGGTCACTCTAACAGGTGGAACAGATGAAAATGGATTTTAGGGGTTTATCTCACCCAAAAGAACACTTTCAGTTCAGACAGGCAATCTGGCAAGAAAACCCTGCTATAATGAAGGCCAGGAACTTCCAGCCATAAATAATTAAGCTACTGAGATATTAAGGTTTTAAAGGAAATTGGGATGCAGACAGCAACAGAAATCCATCCTTCCTCTTGCCTCACATCAATAATCACCAGGAGCAAATTAATGCAAAGTTGTTTCAGAGTGGAGGTGACATGGCAAACCTCCCCTGCTGAGGCACACCAAGGGAATGCCACATGGGAATTTCAGAGCAGAACAGAGGCAGCATCAAAGCCAATGAGAATAATCTGACAGGAAGGCACGGCTGGGAGCTTCCCTACAGATCCTCCTGCAATGCTTCCCCTTCCCACCTTCCAGGGGAAACCACCACTAAAGGTTTCCAGAATGAAGCACAAAACGCAGAGGCTGCACCACAAGGACAGGGCAGCTTGTTAAATCCTGGGAGAACACACACAACAGCCTGGCAGCTCCAGCTCTGACTCCAGCTCTGCCAAACCAGCCCCTTCTCCCTGAGCCAAGAGCACTTTTGCCCTGGTTTACTCACCAGAACTGGAATAATCTGAGAGAGGCTGCAATAACAAAGTATTTCACTTGCTTTTCCAAATACTGTGTGCTCTTATCAGGCAGACAAAAGGAACAGCTCGTTGCTGACACAGTTGTTTGTTGGTTTTGGAGCCACTTCTGCAGTATTGTTTTTTGACGTTATTTGGCAACAAAGCTACTACAAAAGCAGCTCCATTGCATCATTCCATCAACACACTGGAGTCTGGGGGAGAGAATGAGTTCCAGTTTTGCAAATGTGTCTGCAAGAGCATTTTGCAGGGAGCAGGCAGCAAACTCCCACTGGTGATGTGGATGCCACAGCCTTTGATTCCACAGAGACTGAAAGATTCTCATCCCCGTGTCTTTTCTCTTGCTGGAATCTGCAGATGCAGGTGACCCAACTGCCTGGGGACAGTTTGGTGCTGCAAGAGAGCCCATCGTGCCTGGCTGCCAGCTCAGACCCACCTCTCCTTGCTGGAGAAGTCCACTCCCAGCAGGATGTTCTCCTCGGTGTCCTGCCGCCCGCTGCTGTACACCACCACCATGTAGCGCACGCGGTCGGTCCACACGCTCTCCAAACGCACGGCCTGCAAAGCACCTCTGCCTCGTCAGTGCTGCCACTGCTGCACAAGGCTTTGGCAGCTCTGACCAGCCCCAAAAGCTTTATTTAGTGCAGTATGGAAGGTACAGAAAGGCTTGTTGATGTTTTGGTGAGGGGAAGGTGAGCTGAGGTTACCTGCTCTAGGTTGGGGGAGCACTACAAAATGTAACCCAAAGGTTTGTTGCGAAGTTTCAAGCAAGAAGTGTTAAAACATTGATCATGCACTGAACTGAAAACAGGCAGGCTCAGAGGATTCTCCCACTCCCAAACCTTCACTGAAATAGCTCAGTCCTGCAGGAGGCACAACTGACATCAACTTCTCTGCAGAGAAGCGACTTTTACAGCAGATTTTTATCTGCAGATTTCTTTAAAAGAAAGCCCAGCCCAGCTGATGCAATTTCAGGGCTGACTTAAAAGTGTCCAAGAGAATCAGCAAGGTCCTGTGTCTCCTCCTGTATTACTGTTTGTCAGCTGGATGGAAAATGAAATCTAACAGAACAGCCCATTTCAGACAGAGCAGTTCCCTGACCCAAGTCACACCTGGACACAAGGACCAGGGCAAAAGGAGTGGTCAGGAAAGTGGGGTAGGGCTGGAAACCAGCAAAGAGTTAAGGCAGCTCTGAAATCTAGGATTTGCCAATGCTTTTCCTGCTCCTCTACAGGTCTGTTGCAAACGTTTCCAAGAGAAATGAGAGCAGGGAAATGCACCTGTCCTTACCAGTTTGATCCTGTCCTCGCAGCGCAGGAGGTTGATCATCACCTGGAGGTGCTGGGGCAAGTCACCTGCACAGAAAGCACAGCAATCATCACAAAGGGGCTCTTGCTGCTCTAGGAATCAGCAGAGTCTTAACTTTTACAGAAATTGGCTGTTTTTAGGTAAACATAATAATAATTAAGAGAGGTAAATTAACTTTGCTGTCCCAGAGAGCACGAAGAGCAATGAGATTCTTGGATGAGCATTCCCTGGATGGGCGAGAACCCAACCTTACAATATTTGGAAGCCACCAAATCAACTGAAACCACCTGTGCCTGGCACAAGTGAGGATTCTCTTCCTGTCACAGCACCCTAGAGAGGACAGAAAGGTGTGGCCATGAGAACAGGTGAGGGAGAAGTGGAAAAACTAATTAAAAAAAACAGGAACAAAGGAGAAAAGAACAACTTTGAATGGTGAATCACCCCCAGCGTGGTGGGATCAGCCCCACCAGCCCTACAGAGGGTGTGACTGAGCATGAGTGACCCCCAGAGGAAAGGCTGCAGGAATGGGCTGGTTTGGGTGATGGAGCCCTTCTGTCTCCAAGTTCTGCTCATGCACTAAGTCCCTTCAGCTCTAGTCCATTTCTGTTTGGGGACAGCAGACGAAAGGAACAAGGAATCTACAGGAAAACAAACCAAGTTCCCAACTAATAACTGAGTAATGCACTCATAACTTTCCATGTGAGATAAAATTCCTTCCGTGGGCTGCTTGCTGGGTATGTGGAATTGCTGACAGTTAAAGAAACCCAAAGCCAAGCCTGGCACTCAAACACCCCCTTTGTGCTGGAGTGTTTGCTAAGCAGCACCACACAGTACCACACTGTGCCTTTCCCACAGGCTCCTGCTCTCAAAATGCCCCAAAATCCCAGCTCTTCTTGCCCAGTACCCACCTATTCCCAAAGTGCCACAGGCAGAGGGTATAAACACCGGGGAAGCAGAATCAACTTCCCTGGATGTCCTTATCTGCATCCAAATCTGTGTGTACACTCACCACACCACTCCCTGCCATTTCTTCCCACCAGTTGGCAACTGGAAGGGACTGGGGGAAGCAGGACAGTCTGTTCTTAAACCATGATTGCGGTGAGCTGACAGGAAAGGGGGTTTTCCTGAAACCAGGATATGAGCAGCTAACAAACGTGCATCTCTCCAGATACCCAAATCTTGATCAAACATCCCTTACTCTGACCAGCAACGTCCAAACAAAACCAGCAACAGGAAGTTCCAAAGCAAAAAGTCCCAAGCTTCAGATTACTGGAGGCTGGGAGAGCCCCTGGAGAAATGTCCAGGACATCCACAAGTGCCCAAGGGGTGCTGAGCTCTGTGACTCAGCCCTGCCACAAACCAAAGGGGAGGCAAAGATTAACTCACTGAAGCACAAGTGACATTTCCTCCTCTGTGGCTGGGGAAAACAGGGAGAGATATTCCACACAGCCCTTCTGGCTGCACAGGCTTCCCTGCCTAAAGAAAGCCATGCAAAATGCCATGATTTTCACAGAGGATAAGTTTCTATTCCAGTCACAGTTCCAAGAGAATGATAAAAGTTTAAACCAAAACTCAATGATCCCAATAAAAAACTCAGTAATTTGAATGTGGGCTGAAACCCTGGGTTTGTTCAGCAGCTTGTACAAGGCTCACCAGGACAACATGGGGTGTCACCCACCTGTGCCATCAGCCTGTCCCTTTGGATGGGAGGGAAAAAGGATCTCCAGAGGGGATTGAATCATTACCTGCATGTTTGTGGGGATGCTGGAGGCTTCGCTGGCCCTGGGAGCTGTTTCCTTGCTGTAAGAAAAGGGCTGCACCTTTCACCATGAAAAAGCTCTCGCTGAGGCTGAAAAAAAACCACACAGGAGTCAGCTGAAAGGAAAGAGCAGCAAAATGTGCACATCTGGGAAAGGAAGTGCTTTCCTCACTGAAATAGTAGGATTTTGCCACAGCCACTTGCACAGCATGACTCTGGGATTATTCATGGATTATTCATCTGTCATTTTCCAGCACTGTTTTATTACTTGGCCCCTGCAAGAGATACTTGCCTGAGCTGTCATGGGCTGGAAATGACTTTATCACCTGATTCTAGAATTCTGCAACTTAAAAGAAGCAAAGGGTTGGACTTTTTACAGGCTGAGACCTGCAATGGACTCATGGAGAGCAGGTTCTGAGCCCAGCACTTCCTGCTGATTGCAGCTCTTGACATTTCTCTGGAATGCAAAAACAAGAACCTGCAACTGTGTAGATTTAAAGGGGAAGGGAGATGGAACCTGCACATCCCAAGGGAAAGGACACAGCTCCGGACCCTCAGGGAAAAATAAGCAGCACAAGAGCAGAGGGTTGGCTCTGCTGTGGCTGGATCAGCATCCTGGGATAGAGTCTGGGCAAACACAGTGACACTTCCAGAGGGAAATGACACCCAGGGCTGGAGCATAAGGGAGGAGAAGGCAGAACAGCACCGGCACAGTCGGATTTCACCACTCCCAGACACGTACGAGAACCTTGGAAATCCTTCAGAAGCAGCTTTGGCCAGAAGCAGAGAAGCTGCATTTCCCACATGGCTGGAAATCCCTGTCTCCTTTCAGCTGCACAGGAATTGCTTGGGATGTGTTTGCTCTGCTCCCCAAACAGCACAAGAGCCATTTGTTGCTCCAAAGCCCAATTTTCCACCCCCCACCACGCTCACAGCCATAGAATCATAGATCACCATTAATTACTGTCTGCATCTCCTAAACAGGAATGCTGCACTATGACTGTGCTACACAGGAGTTCCTTATGCTCCAGCAAATGATCCCTCTGGAGTTACTACTCCCAGCACTCATCTATTCCATATTTCATCCGTGGTCTTTGCCTTGGGGCAGGAGTGAGTGGTAATGCTCCCAATGCTCTGTTCTACCTCGCATTTTTGTGAGGACAGACATGAAATTCACATAATTTCAGATTTTCTCACCTCTTAAGAACACAGCCCAAGTTCCCAGGCAAAGCTTCCTCCTGTTTCAACTGAATTTCAAGAATTCCCCAGAAAAATCTGGATCAGGTTTAAATTCGAGATTTCAGTTGCTTTTCAAAAGTGAACTAAAATTTTTGCCTGAATTTCAGGCTCCACAAGATCAATAAAACACAGCAGGAGAAGCACACTCTAATTCCAACAATTCTCCACTTCCATTCCCACAGGATTCCAGCACTCCCCCCTCACCTCACTGGCTGGGTCTGAGCAGGATCCGAGCTCAGCCTGGCTCGGGATAACGGCACCCACGGCTGCAAATGGGAACAAGTGGGAATGTGGCCTCTTCCAGGAGCCAGCCAGGAAGAGCCTTGTTTCCTTCTCACCCCAGACCTCACAGGAAAGCGTTAAAAAAGGCCAGAAGTGACACAAAGGCAGCGACCCCCACACAATGTATGGGATATTCAGCACTCACAAGAGGCAGGGAATGCTTAGATCATGCACTTGGAGATAATTCACAGCATTCCCACCCAGAGAATTTGGGGGAAAATTTCTTTGGGAAAGCAAAAAATATCCTGAAATAGATATTTTACTCCAGTGTTTTACCCCAAAGGATCTTTGACCTCAAAGCACTGACTAGGATTGCTGCAGCAGGAAAAACCTTGGGAAAAACAGAGCTCCTTCCCAAAGTTATCAGGATCTCCTGCTCTGATGATACATCTTGGCAGATGTTCTTTCTCCTGCAGTCAGGAAATCTGTGACAATAAAGCAGAATATTCCCAGTTGCTGGCAAAAGGGAAAGCTGTGCTGCTGGAGCAGCAAGTGCTCCAGGAAAAGGACAACTCACAGAGCAAAATTTTTGTGCTCATGTATCCATGTGCGTGGAAATGAACCGGAAAGCACAGCCAGGAGCCTGCTGAGAGCCAGGTTTCCATTTCCACTGAAATCCCCGTTCCTGCCCTGCCCAAATCCTCCTGTACCCCCAGCATTCCCCATCTCCACACCAGCTCGGGTTTCCATGTGCCCAGCACGGTGCTGGACACAGGGAACACACCCAAACGCCTCTTTGCTCAGAGTTTACACCACATTGTAACAAGAACGTTACCCAAGCCCAGCCCTTATCTCCGCTCTGGGAACTGCCTGCGCTCTGCCACTTGACACAACTGCTCAGTGAGAAAGGCAAGGCACAACTCCCTTTTAAATCCTGCAATCCCAGTAAACAACTAAAACTCTGAGCTTTTTTTTTTTAAAATAAAAACCCCTTTCCTGGCATTAAAAACATCCCCACCCTCTGCCCCTCGGCAGGGGTGCCAGATGCCCCAAAGCACGACCCCATGCTCATACATACTGATTCAGGCTGCTTTTCTTTGCACAGCGGCAGCATCGTGGTGGCCCCAGCGTCAGACAGAAGTCAGGGAAATCGAAAAGATTCATAACCAGCTGGAAAACTCACATCCTTTTGCTTCTAAACCCATAAAAAACACCAGAAGGCAAAGAAAAGGTCAAGCGTATTTCTGTGCGGAGCAGAGGAATCGCGGCTGCTGATGCTCCCCGGGAACTGGATGGCTTTTAGGGAACACTGTGTCTTCCACTGATATCCTGGCTTGAAAAAGCACTTGTCCCAACACATCCTGATGAAAGAGAGCCATTCAAGAGGGGAAACAAGCAGCTGAGGCTCGGCTAATCGTTTCCCTCCTCCAGACTTGTTTGTTTGTTTGCTTCCCCCTCGTGCTCCAGAGGCTCCTACCAGCACCCACACAGCCCCTGGCTGCGGGACGTCCACATTCCCTGGGAGGGACAGGACTAGAGGAAAAGCATCCTATGGACTGATGCCTGCTCATTCCTTTACAGTTAAAGCAATGCTTTAATACAGATACAGGACATTTAAATGGTTCTTCCCTCAGTGTACAGCTCCCCCGTTGGATTTTCAGAGCCATTCCTGAGTTCCTGCTGGACAAGGAATCTTTCAGGTCCTTGGTTTTTGTGTGTTAGGGGCTGCTGGCACTGAAATCCCTGAAGATTTGTTCCTTACAAACTCCAATTCTTTCTGCAGGCACACACCATAAGGCCACTCTGGCCCCACCAGCCTGACCAGGGGAATGAGGAGCTCTCTGTGCATTCTCAGCCAGTTTTCATCCAGTTTGACTGGCACACACCACAGAAACCACCCAATCCCGGGATGCCCTTCCAGGAATCCTGACCAGCACAACTTCTCTACAAGGAGTCACTTCAGGCTCTTGAATAAACACAGAGCCCACTCACAGCCCCAGGACCCTGATGCTCCAGTACAGCTGCAGACCAGTTCTCCTCCCACTCCTTGACCTCAGCTCACCAAACACAGGACATTATCACCCTAAAAGAGGGAAAAACCAGCACTTCCAACACCTGGGAAATGCCAGGAGCGTCAGGAGGAGGGTGCAGACAGTGACAGTCCCTCCTGCCCCCAGAGGCTGGCAAGGACAGGGTGCTCATGGCCACAGCCCTGCTGAGAGCCGGCTCCAGAGGCTGTTGCTCCATCCGCTGGCTCCGTGCTGCTCAACTTGAAAAGGAAATATTTCTTCCCCTTTGGGAAAGCTCCAGAGGAGCGTGGCTGCAGCACACATCAACCCCATTTCGAGCTGCTGAAGAACACAATAGGCAGCGCCTTCTCGGCGGTGCAAACTGCCACCCCCCGGGGCCAGGAATGCCAGTAAGCAATCCCTCAAAACCGCTGGATTTTGGGAAAAGAGACAGAGCTGCTCACGCTCCTGGGCAGCAAGATGCCAGTCCCACAACAGTTTTCCCCAGGCAGTTGGCTTTGCCATCGAGGCTCCAGCTGTGAGGTGTCCCAGGAGGAATCCTTGCATGCCTCATGTGCTTGAGTTCCATGTTTTAATGGGAATCTCACATAAGCCATAATTATCTTGCAGGACACAAGAAAACACTCTATTAACATATCTTATAGCTACAGAATTAATCTCAAAATAAAGACCCACAGAAGAGTCTGGAGAAAGAAAACCACTTTTTCTGGGAAGACCCAGGCAAACCTGAGATGAGTGAGCAGCCTCCTGCAACCAGGTCCGTGTTTAAGGAAGAAAAAAACCCCAAACCCCCACAAGAAAAGGAGTATTCACTTCTCTCAAAATTGGTCATGATTTTACAAAGGCAAACATGGTAATGCCTCCCAGTTCTTTGGGTTTCATGGCATCTTCTACTCAAAACATTTCCAGACTGATAAGGTGAGGGAAAAACAGGCCTCCCGAGCACCACAGAATGGAACACACTTCCCTTTTCTACAGCCCTGTTGATAAGGAGGAACAGAACTGATTTTTTTCCCCTTTTTCTTCCCTCCTTTGCTGCTTGGTCTGGAACAAGCTTGGCCACCTCAAGGCAACTGAGAAAGAACACAAAAAGCCCTGGAGAGGGGGTGGGTGAGAGCCCTGCTGGATGCTCCCATAGCCCAGCCAGACCCTCCACATTCCAGAGGGTGGATTTTAGGCAGGACACTGCAGCGGGCAGAGGGGACTGGCATTGTCCCACAGCAGCAACACAACCCAAGCTGGGGAGGAGAGAAAGAGAAAGGAGAGAAGCAGGAAGAGCTGAGAGCAGCTGTGTGGCTCCTGCTCCCCAAAAAAGCCGACGGTTAAGGCGGAGGCACTGCTTGCTCTGGCCTGATAGAGGCACATCTGATAACACCTCCTGACCACGAGAGGGGCCTGGGAAGGGGCCTGAGCAACACCAAACAGCACCAGGGAAAAAGGGACTTCAGAGCTGCTCCTTCCCATGGCACTGCACAGCCCCAGGGACTCCAGCAGCAGCAAATCCCTTCTCCTGCTCTTAATGAAGCGTGTCCAAGTGGCCTTTGCTCTGTGTCACACAAAGATTAAAGGGACTTACACAGGTGGGAATATCACCACAGC